GAAGGGGGAAAAAAACAAAGGAAAAAAAAAAGTATTGGGAGGATGGGGTCTGCCCACGCAAGGTCTTGCACTAAAAATGAGCGAGTGCTGCCCTGGGCAGTCAGCAGCAGCCAGCGAAGGTGCTTCAACATCTGCGTGTCACTGGGGACCACCGCCCCTCTACAGAAAATAGATTTCAGGAATTCAGAATTACCAGATTTTGCTTTATCTTTGCACGTTTTGGTTTGCCCTGCGCCCCACCGGCTGCAATTTAAAAATCCCTCGATGAGGAAGCGGATGAAGCAAAGGCACTCAGACCAGTTCGCAGCACCCTTCTCTACGTTAAAATTAAAAGCGTGGTTCAGAGTTTCACTAATTTGGCATCAGAGGTGCATGTAATTGGGGTTTTTGAATTGCCGTAGCTACACCTTGTCCCACGCTAAGCAGGAGAGCGCGTTCTGAAGGAATGGCTTAACGAGGTTAAGAATACAAAGAGACAGGATCTGATTTCTTATGAAAAACACGAAAGGAGCTACTGCAGCTGGTGACAGGACTGGGCAGCAGCCACAGCTGTCCCCGAGCAGCGTCTCTTCCAGATAACGCACTCCAAACTGTACCAAAACCTGTAAATCCGACACCAAATTCTGAGTGCAGACCTGGCACTTCGCAGGGCGAAGGCCCAGATAAAGAGCCAGGATGGGGCGGAGGATAAAGCGTATCAAGACCTCGCTCTGCTCTTTGAACGCAGGCAGGAGATAGTTTTGCATGTCCGTGCCAAAAACAACAACAAAGCAAAGAGGCCGAACCTCCTGGAAACGCGGTCTGCGCCGTACTGCGTTGCAGAGAGCAGAACCGTTTTCAAAAGAAGCATCTCCATGACAGTCAGTCAGGTGCCCTGAATTATTCTGGGAGCAGGAAGGCTGGTAACAGACGGGGAGGCGCAGCCAACACAGCACATTTTCTGTCGCCTAGGCGCTGTTTGGAGCTTTCTAGAAGCAGATAAAGAACATTTGCCTGGCTATTGGAGGGAACAATCACTCAAGGCCACCTTTGAAGCATTCCTCTCATTTATTATTGGCACCGCCTAGAAAGATAACTGTAAAACTCATCTTGGCCTTGGTTTGATCGGTCCTTCGAAAGGTGATTAATAAATTTGCTGCCTTTTTTTTTTTTTTAAAAAAAAAGAGTCCGTTGGCTGCTGCCAGAGCCTGGTGGAAGAGCTCCACCCGGTGGCGTTTCCTAAAGGCACAGCTGAAGGCTCCGTGCTGCTTCTGCTTTAACTGGGAAGTCTCAACTTCCAATATTTCTCCTTCAATGAGTCCTGCAGGCTAGAAGAAAGCGTCGCAAGGCGCTGCTTACGGTTGCTGTTTCTTTCTAAAGAAACACAACCGTCACAAGCAAAATAACCGCTTGCTCCTCTTTGCGTTGTGGCATCTGCTCTGGGCTCAAACACCAAAGCATCTGGTGGAGAAACCTCCGCAACATGCGTCACCTCCCGGGTTGAGACGAGGCACCGAGCGCCGAGCCTGGCGCTCAGACTCGCAGGATCCGTCCCTTAGAAGTTTTGCGTGACAGAACCGTGGTCATTTCTCTACCTAACGCAGACCTTGTGCTCTTTTAAGTGACAGTGAAGACTGGAGGGTTGCATTTGTCTTTTGGGGCATAGGAAGGAAGGACAGAAGTGACTTTTTTCCTCTATTTTATCAATCCTAGGAGATTTCTTGATTTTCAGAGGATTTGCCTGAAAGATTTCTCTGATGAAGAGTGATAAAAATCGCTAACTGCAAACAATCGTCTCTGTAATAAACATCTTGACTACAGTCTCAATTACGGGATGCATGGAATTACAATCATCGACACCCAGGAGAGTTAAAATACGCCCTGCCTTGCTAAAGGCATTTTTACCACGTAAAGACTGGGCTCTGGATCTTAATGATGGTTTACACAGCTTCAGAACTTCCTCCTCTAGATGCTTGGTAGATACCAATCAGGGAAGATATGGTCCCCAGGAGACCTACTAACCATGGAGGAAAGCGTCCGGCCCAAAGAAATCCCGGAGGCAGCCAGTGGATTGCGTTGGAGAGGTCGGCCGCGTGTGTGAGGATGCTCAAGACTTCAGCCTTCACTTGGGCTTTCGTTTCCTTTTGACTCAGAGGCGAGGATGTGCTGTTGGAAGCAAAAGCACCATCAGGGATAGCCCATAATGTAATAATAATTAGCGATAGCTCACAAATGAGAACAGAGATACTCGGGTTGAATTAGCTGTCTAGCCAAGGAGGGAAATCGTACCACTTGTGCTGCCTCAGCTTTCTTCTCAACTGGAACAAGATTCTCAGGGATCTGAAAACGAGACCACCGAGTTATTTCTCCTGTGGCATCAAAGGAGAGGGTTTTTTCCTCTGGCATTAACTGCGCCTGTGAGGAAGGGCACCCCTCTGCAGCTGAGGGCCCTTCATTTTAGCCGGACGACAGGGAACACGGTTCGCTCCCTGCCCGCCTCCCTCCCGCCGCGGCACCCCAGCCAGCCTCACCGCAGGATGCCCAGGAGCAGGGAGAAGGCCCAGAGCGCCGTGCTCAGCGTCCACCACTTCTGAGAGCCGACGCGGATGATGCCGGCGTCGGCCGCCCACGCGACGTGCTCGCAGGGGTAGTACAGCTGGTTGGCCAGGTTGCAGAGCACTGACAGCCCCCGCACCAGCCCGTCCTCGTCCTGCGGGGAGCGCGGGGAACAGGCCTTGGCGCCTGCGGCGTGGCTGGGGAGGCTGCCGCCGCCCCCCGCGCCCCCCCGCTCACCTTGGGGCCCAGCCCGTAGCCCCAGCTATAGCTGAACGTGGCGAGGTCATCGAAGAGGCGCAGGGCCGTGCGGCAGGCGCTCAGCTGGGCCGACACGGCCAGGAGGCTCCCGGGCAGCCCGGATGGGGAGGCCTGGGGCCCC